AAAAAGCCAGTGGCTAATGACCGCTTCCAACATCTGTGGACAAGTGTGCTACATTTGCATTCAGCCACAGCCAATTGATAATAGCTCAGATTTGAGAGAAAATCCAAATGGTGTTTCCTGCATTGACAGATTGAGCGTGTAGTCTTCTGCCTATTTCTGGACAGCGACGTGGAGATCTATGAAGAACAGCTTCCCAAGTTTTTCCCTCTCAATGGTAATGCCTCCAGTCTGTAAGGTTAGGCTATTCTATCACAGCCAACCCACAGACAATACTTGAGGCTGTGCACAGACAGAATTACATTGATTCGTTTTCTGACTCGGCATTTATCTTCGAAAGTAACAGTGCAGTACAGGATAACGTTATTTGTGGTTGGCTTCAGTGGTCATATATTTTGTTCTGATTCAAAGAAATTCTGTAAAATAACGATTCAACTAATACCTGGCGTAATCAGATGACAAATAAATGATTTGTGCATAATACATAATATGCATCCTTCTTAAAAACAGATGTTGGTTTAACTATTTGTGTCACACAGGTGATCAAAATGAACGCAGTGAACCAGAGGAGAAAGAAAAATCAGAAGAGCCTCCCTCTTAAGATCTCCATCTTACCACAGGGGATGTACACCTGATGGAAGACAGTTACTCATTCAGATCCAATGCAGAGCAAATGTCTATCTTACACAGCCTGATCTTGCCCAATTCAGCAGACTCATTGTAAAGTACTAGGGCCAGGACAGTAGGACAAAAAGTGAATTTTGGCTGAGAAAGGAATTTCAGGTGTCCACGTCGAACTATAGGTACTTTCAGCCTGTTGAATCATGGCCACTGTGTAACTTTGTGGAAGGCACTGCGTGACCCACCCACTAGAGCCAAGTGGAAGCATGTATGCAGTTCATATACTGAAATGTGTCAGGTCTACATTGTCAAAAATCAAGCTGTTGCTGCTAAGGTGCAATAATGAAAGTGCCCAATTTCTGATGATGCATTCATTTCTAATACACATACCTTGTGCACTGCTTGTCCCAAACCACATCCTTTTTTTCCCCTGAATGGTGCTAAAGAGTCGAAACGGTATTGTGGCTACCTGAACCTAAACCCTGTCATACTTGACACAAAACTTCCTCAATTTTCCGAAATACTTCATCGTGTGGGAAATGGGAACAGTCTTGTGTACTTTAACTTCAAAGGGACATCAGTCACTGTATAAAGTAGAGGTGTTGCTCTCACCAGTGCTAAAACTTTCACCATTGTGAACTAAAGAACTCATGAGTTCACCAGGTGGAAAGCAAACTGTTTCTTGTTCTTAGTTTAGGCACATTTCAGTGATGTGTAACAAAATGGTTGAGATATTTTTGCTGTATTGTAATGAGTGGGGTTTTGCAAAATAAATTTGGGAGACGTTTTTTGGTCAAAAAAAGTAGGAAATCACAGGTCATTTAGGATGCCTCTGAAAGCTGAGTTGTACATATTTAAGTTGATGTTTGTATATTGTTTGAAAAGCCCTGTTGCCCAAAACTTGAAGAGGAGTTACTTTGAATGGAGCACATTTTTCTTTCAGCCGAATGCACAAGTAGATTGTTTTATATGAAATTACTCATTAATAAGTTTGTCAAAATAAGGTATAATTCAGTATGACTCGGTTATTGTCATTAATTAGTTATGAGTAAATATGGAATGGCGAAGATTTGTGACGTGCCACTTTTTTGTGAAAAATATGAAATTTGAAGTCACGCAGAAAATGCATATTTATCATCAGCATTCTATCCAATATCTGTGAATTTTTCCCTCACAAGTGCAAACCGGCGAATTTTACAGCTGATAGTAGTATGCGTTTCTTGACGTTCCCAATTTTTTTACGTGGTTTGCCCTGAGACCTTCCCTGACAACAAAAGCCTGAGCATTTGTTAATGCCATGCTTTGTAAACAGGCAACAGTTTAAAAGCAGAATCATACTGTGGGAGTTTTTGCATTGCTTGCATGCAGAGAAGAGTTTTTTAACGAGTACATTTTCTGCAGAAATGATCCTTCATTTGATCTTGTGCCAGCCAAAGATATGTTAGTGCCTCCTTAGTTAGCATACAGTAGATTTCATCTCAGTAAATGCTTGCTTCATTTTAAGTAGAGAAAGACTTGTACTCGATAGGTTTTGGGTAATCACAAACCTACTTCAGGATCACGAATACAAGGTTTTTATGTGACAACAGCAAAGAACACCAGAAATCGTCCATTTGTCTTGCGCATTGAAAAATCCTGTATTTGTACATGTGTGAAATTCACTTTAGGAGGTAGTCAACTTGCTGTAATAAAGATCTGAAATTCGTTTAACAGCGCATTTAGGAAATAATGCATGACTTGTATTAAAGCTGGTTTATATGGCTATATAATGCGGGCGATTCACAATAGTGAGCCCCGAAGAGTTTGCAACGTGTTGGCTAATCACAATGCGCGAAATCTGTCCAAACGTGCATAGGGTATAGATTTCGTGCATTATGAATGGCTAGCGCGTTGCAGTCTCTTGGAGGCGCACTATTGTGAAACGCGCGTATTGAGTTCTGTGGTCAAGAATGTGTTTTAGTCACTGGAAACCTAATACCTAAGGCCAGTCTTTGAAGTTACTGTGTGGGTTGTGAATTTTAACTTTGGATATGGCCTTCACAGTGATAATCTTTAAAGCCCTGTTTACTTGGTGCTTTTTGAGAAGTAAAAAAGCTTTACGTTGGTGGGGTCGAACCCCTGACCTGCAGCTTACTAGTGCAGATGTTCGACCACCAAGCTCAGATGGATTAGAAAACATTTGTATGTAGCACCAGCTGTCATAGATGGTGTGGGTGCTGCCGTGACAGATGCAGTTAAGTGTGTTGAAATGTGCACATTCTTAAAAGTTAAATTTTGTCCAAACTTCCCCAGTCAAGTGAGGGCACTGTTGCTGTGTTGTTCATCAGATCAGACATTGTTCAGATCACGTTTTCGTGTTCAGAATTGGAACCCCAAATTTGCTTTTTGAAAACCTTCTGCGAAAAGGTCGCTCTTTGGCTTATTAAATTTATGACAACAAAGTTTTCAAAATTCCAGCAGTTTTGTATGCACAGTTTTTACATTGAGGTCCACTGCCACAGATAACATCGCTAATTTGCTTATGAAGTTGCATTAGTCCAAACTCAAAAGGGCGCAGAAAGGTAGCGATTGAAAATAAGGCTAATTGAAACGCACAGGTTCAATTTAAATAAGGGTTGTGGTAAAATACGTGTATTGCATGGTCCCAGTAAGAGTTACATCAAGTGTAATTTTCACCCTACACCTTGAGGAACTGAGAATTACTAATGTAAGTCACCTTATCTTGGAATCTGTGCACCTTATGCAAACAACTGTATGACATCACCATTGTAATATAACACCCACGTCTATTTGAAATTGTGCAACATAAAGCAGTTTTTTTTGAAGCGGTTAACAGGAAACTCCCGTGGACATGTACATGTCTCTGAGGTATCATTGACTTCATGAAAATCTTTAATTCATGCAATTTGAATTTTTTTTCAATTTGAATTTTCTTTAAAAATTTTTGAAGTAACTACAGTAATTCTGAAATTTCTTATTGCGTAATGTCCCTAAATACCTAATCATTTTTTCGCGTTTGCTTTGGACAATGAAAGCAATTACGGTATTTTATATCCATGCATTATAATGGATCGGCGGAAAATAATTGATTCGTCTTCATTTGAAAGTGCACTATTTTTCAGGACTGGTTTGAGTTTTTGTCAAGTACTCGTTCTGGAAGGCACAGGGGACTGAGAAAGTCTGAACAGAATTTCTCTTACATTGGCTTTTGGCATCCACTCGGAGATTTTCATGTCTTCGTTTAAAGTTACATTGCTTTGAGATATTTCTTCTTTTGATTAACAATAGCAATACCATGGTGATAAGGCTCCTTCACTTCCTCACTCACCCACTTTTCGGCTTTCCCAGCCCAGCACTCTTCTGCAGACTCGCATGTCCAAAGCCTCCTGCCTCGTTTCGTCCGACTTTCGTGCAGCTTTTCCGGCCATAAATACAACATTCCACATCGGAGACTTTAAGCAAGCACTGCTGGGCTCCTACCCAGAGATTTCTGCATTTATTGGCTGTCCCGAGGCTGTTAACCACTGCCTTTTTCTATTCCTATCCTGATTTAAATCTCACCCGATGTTGTGGCCTGAGTCGTAATTATTGATTAAACTTCCGGACACGTTGTGCGGTGTGTTGCCTATCGAAACTGGTTGGTTCCTGTTCCAAGCCGTGACGTCTCTACTTTCATTGATAGTTGGGCCGTAACTATTACGATATGGGACTACTACTGTAGCGACTATGCCATATACGTATACGTTCCAAGCCATCTTTTGTACTGCACTGTACCTGCATATCTTAGATTCGTAACGTTATGCTTTCTTTTCGCTCATGATGGATTTACCAACTACACTGATCCCCATGGGTATTTTAAAGATGAAACGGCACTGCCTTGCTCCTTTCTCCTTTGCCAAAGCTGAAATGTCTTGCATGCTCTCCATCCTATTTATTTTACGTCATGCTATAGAAGACAACGACGGATATTTAAGACGATGGTGGCTTCGTGATTTACAACAGAGGTCGGGGAACCAAATTAAGACGTGCTCTGTAGCAGGGCGTGCCCAATTTTATTGACAACGAAAGTAGGCCTATGACTAGAAACAACACGCGTCTACGTAGGTCGTCAGGTAGTCGGCCCTCGTGCACTTTCCTACAGATTCGTTATTTCCCGGAGCTAAATAATTTTAATGCCGCTGCATTCTTTGAGGAAGAAATGTTTTAGGCATCAGGGAGTCCCAGTTTTACTTTCGGATTTGTTGGTAATATAAAACAGTTGCTGCCTTCAGTGATGTGGCCGGTCATTATCGCCTGCGCCCTCTACGCCTGAGCGATACGGGACAAAGCAATTGTGTATGTTTTTACCCTGCTAGCGACACGAGGACGGGCCTTGTGGACGTAAAAACGCTTTATCTCAAATCACGGCTTTCAATAACTGTAGTCATTGGCACATGCCTAATAACTCTAAACCTGATGCTGTGCAAAGTCTTCTGAGATGAAGCCAGTACCATCCACAGGAAATATATATCGCCCTCATAAGTTCCCACTGCATGCTTTACTCATTGACAGCCGCATAGTCATGTAGTCCGATTAATTAGTAGGAAAAAAGGGGTTTAATTAACATTGTTGCTTGTTTTGTACGTAACAAGATTATGAGATTAAGAACCCAGCAAAAGTGGAGCTCTTGCGTGTTCCACTGGTGTATTAGTGACAGCTGGTTATCAGACGAAGCTGGAAGAACAGTCCTTGTATAGACTGGTACTGTAAAGCTGTTCTATTTTCGTCAATCGGTCCTCCATCGCGTCATCGATTCTCTGCAAGATCTCAGTCAAACCTAGACCCTCCTCGATTGAATAAACGACTTATGCTTGTTTGCATAACGTGGCTTATTGCATGGGGTGGTCCAGTTATTTTCGACAGGAAATCTGCTGAAATGATTTCAACCGTAGACCTACCAGTGTGCGTCAGGCTGAATGAAAGTCAGCCTGAAATGGTTCACATTCAGATAAGCGAGGTGAAATTTCTGTATTTCATCGCTTAAATGCAGCTTTTCAGCACCAAATCTATGCGTACGGAGGAAATAGGGCAGGTTTTTGCTCGTATGATATGCGGCCTCGTTTTCTGTGAATTATTTTCTGCATTATAGATGCAGGCAGGTGAGACGTTTCCCGCGTGTATCAGTGTATCGGCTACGTTATCTAGGACTTATTTTCTAGTTTAGTACGGAATATACGCCATCAAGATGGTCTTAACTGATTATGTTATATATAAAATGGGTGTTCTCGGGGCGACACTCAGGTAAAAACTTTGGGTCTGAAATTTCAGAATCTTGCTAATTGACGAAGAATACTTGAACCATCAGCTGATGTTGCCTGCACAAAAAAAGGAAAGAACCAGTCACAAAACTAATTCGTAAATACCGCCAACCTTTGTCGCTATGCACCAGCGAATTTAATACTTTTGTATTTAAATCAAGCAGTGAACAATTTCTGGAGCAAGAGAGTGAAAACTAGTAACTTACCACGTGGCTAGGAGACGTGTAAGTTGTAGATGCAGCACGTGCAGAAAATGTATACAGATTCGATGCACTCCAAGTCGTATCTATAATAAGGACACACAGGGCTCAGTCTGGGTTTGGCATTGGAAAGAATCTGAATGGTCCAACTAATCGGCATTTAGGGGTGACTTGGGGAATTAGGGAAATGGGATAAACAGTATACATTTGACCATAAACTGGCATCATTTAAACGAGCACCCCTCCGGAATCCGGTGATTCTGTAGTACAATGTAAACTACATTCTGTACGGGGATAAAAGATATTTTGCGTATACGTCATAATCCTCTTAATGCTCAGATATAAAGCAGAAGCAACCTCTTTCGGGGGCTCTCAAACACCTATTTTCTCACAGCCATGCATGCGCTACTCATTTTAGCCCTTATTACGCTGTCTGCCAGCACCCCGAGCCAAGTCCGATATGACGGGTAAGATCTAGAGTGATTACTGTTTTGTTTTGCAGCTTCACCGCGGCAATTCACGGCACACATAAATACAAGTACAAAAATCTTGCCTCTGCATTTCACAAAAACTGTCTACTGCATGTACAAAAGATGCCACAAGCGACTTTAATTTAATTGACTATGACACACTTTCGGAATACAAGGAATCATAGTGAAAATTTGGTAACAAGTTATGATTGTTTTGCCACAATGCACAACGATCGATTATTGTTGAATTCCGATTCGAAACAGTGCATAGGTAGGAAAAATATGCGTACACCCTCCGTGTTGTTCATTTTTTCATTTGAAATTCCAGGTTTCACATAAAATAGTAATTACTTTAATGATTCATATAATAGACTGAGAAACAGTAACAATTATTTTGCATCAGTGTAGTGCCCCCGGAAACCGTTCTGTTCATTTACTCATGTTGGCATTCCATTTCAATATTTTCTGGCTGGTATTCCACATTTTCCAAATGAAATCTGTTATGCTTTGTTGACTTTCGAATAAACTAAAAAGGAAACCTTCACAATATATGAATGCTTTGTCATTTTCAGGTACGAAGTCTTGCGGATCGTACCACGATCAGAAGATCAGATGCAATGGATGGAACATTTCGAAGAGACGTTCGTTTCCAAGGTCACAAATCAACTGACACCAAATTTCTCTTACCAGAGACAGATGTTCAATCGTTCAAAGGAATTAGAAAACGGTTTAGGCAACCCCATACCCAATTATGCATTTTTCGGCCGCCAGTGATCTTTTAGCCGAGAAAAACTTCTTGTACGGCAAGGTAGTAGCAATGAATAGCAGCAAATCACTTGCGATATTCGAAAGAACAGCAAGGCCGTTTAGCATGCTGGCCCCTCTTCGCTCAGAACAGTCATGGAATTCTTCAGGGTATATTCTCATAAAACAACACCCATGGTTGATTTAACATTTACATTGTAAAAAGATTTTTCGTTGTAAATGGTTTTGGGCGAATTTGAAAATAAATGGGAACGCCATTTTCAATCGTTCAAAGGGTGACTTCACGTGCTGTGTGTTATGGTTACCAACGAAAATGGTTCTGCTTTGGCTCGCAGTTTAAAATGTAGGTAGGACTTTGATATCAGTCTTCCCAGTTAAAAAATAATTGGGTATTGCATGATTTTTTTATCTGTTTGAATTTAGCTCGATTTCTGGAGGATGTCTCACTCCGTTAACCAGCCACTGGACGTCATGGTGCCGCCACGGTACCAGACTGAACTCAGAGAACTGCTTGAAAGCCGCGGTATTGGGTTCAGTGTCCACATCGAAGACGTCCAGAAGTTGATCGAAGAGTCCATGAAATCCTCAGCTGGTGTCCGTGCTGTCAGTGGGTTCGACTACAACACGTATCACACTTACGAAGAGGTACATGTATACCGTTGGGGTTCGATGTCTCGGCTGTGGCGAGCAGTAGCACGGGTGTCTATGGGATGAGAATGGAGCCGCTAGCCGAATGCTCCCCATAAGTACATTGCAAATGAATAGCCCTTAGCCTATTTTCGAACGCAGGGTGTGATGAGGACACTAGATCTTCTGGGCGCCTTGATTGTAAAAGCAAATTACAGCAGAAGACATAAAAATGCAACAAACGACTCAAATCAAGCCCCAAAATGCCCCATTTAGAAAATTTACAGAGGAATAACCTGGACAGTGACACAGAAAAGATATTTTTTAATCTGCTAAAGTGTTGTTCTTCCTTACAATTTGTTCCTCCAATGTATTGATTTCAAGGAAACGTAAACAGTGATTTTTCATAGCCTATGACTAGCTAAGAAGTAGGTCAAATCCAAACTTAATTGTTTGTTCTCTGTTACGTACAGTTGATGCAGTGGGTGACTAACTTTGTTTCTGAGTACAGCAACATTGCAGAGGAAATAGTGGTCACGCGGTCCGTAGAAGGAAGGGACATAAAGGCGATTAAGGTACTTATTTGCATAGTGCTGACGTTTGTACATTAAAAATCGCCCCCAACTGCAATATATCCAAGAATACAAGGGCAGGTTAAGAGCCCCATCTTGGGAGGAGGGCGATTTCTTCTCTGGAAGGATTTTAGAATTTCTAAGCAATCTTTAGGGTTTTTTCAGACTCGAAGCCAGATCGGGGGACTTTTATACACACCTTTTGGAAGGAGGAAAGTGAAAAAATCTCCAAATCTTCCTTCTCCTATGGCGCTACAAAATGGCTCTTTTAATTTTTCTTCAATATTTTGGGAAGTATGAAGATTCTCTTTTTGTGGCAATGACCAAATTTTCCATTTCACTTTCATTACTTTTGATATTTAATTTTTCAAGATGTACTTTGTGTCGACGCAAAGTACATCTACTTTACGCTGCTACTCGGACCGGCCAGCCGACCCCGGCAAGCTCAGTGGTCGTCTGCACTAGTAAGCAGGAGGTCGTTGGTTAGAGTCCCACCCTATTAAGCTGGTGACTTTTTCACGAGCTCTCGGGCAAGTACTGAGTATATTGTTTATGAATATACGCGGGGTAAGGGCAAAACCCGTAATCAAATACCCTATATACCAGAGTAGTAGATTCGAGTCACTTGACGAGTCGGACTCGAGTCGCTATTTTTGTGACTCGTTACTTGACTTGTAACTATCAGTTTTTGTCTTGTGATTTAACTTGGACTTCAAAAACTTGCTCCCAACTCTGCTGTATACATCTTCAGTCTAGAGTTGGCAAATATGTAGGTAAAAACGGATTTGTGATATGCGTTACAACATTCACAGTTAAAATAACTGCATTGCACATATAGGAACAAGTTCAAGTAGCTAAAGTCGCTATATCGTGGAGCTTTATTATTCAGCTTTTATTTCAACTCAGCAAAACACTATAGCTCCAGCCCACTCAGTACAAAGGGTCCATAGCTTCAGCCCTCTCAGTGCAAAGGGTTGATAGCTTCAGCCTTCTCAGCAATCCTGTTTTGCTTATCATGTGCATTCAGTTAGGAAGAAAGAGTTCTGGTAAACCAGGGGCCTTCATGCAAGGCGGTATCCACGCCAGGGAATGGATCTCGCCGGCTACTATGGTCAACGTGGCTAAAAAGGTGCATGAGAATAAGTTGTTGCAGATTTCATCAGCGTTTTCTTCAAGCATTTATAAAACCGTTTATCTTCAAAATTGACTTCAAACGAGCTGGAACTGTACGATTACGTCGTGTACAACATACTTGTGCACAACAAGAGATTTTTTTATTGCTAAACTAAAAAAGGGTATATTTGAAAAAAGAAAATGGAAACGATATGTGACATACGACACTGCAAAGATTTACTCTTGTGTTGTTTTGGTGTATCGGCTAGTACATATTTACCAGCACATATTCAAACTTTTAAATTGTGACTCGTTACAACTCTGCTCTGCAAACATTTTCCATAAGTTTTCACAACCTTTGGCAACCAACAAAATCACAGAATCCAGGTTAGGACCTACTTCTTAAAATTAGACCTTTTGGTCGCGACTACACTTCTTGCATTGTTTTCTAAATTTGAATTTAGAACCTGAATTTAAGATACCGTTGCATTCAAAGTGATTTTTGTTCTTCGAAGGAATTTGTTTCCTTTTTCCAACTAATAGACCTACTTAAATTACTTTGTTGTAAAGCTGGCAGAGAGCTACGGCTCCGATCCCGACGTGACTGCCATGTTGGATTCCTTCGACTGGTACATTGTTCCTTGCCTCAATGTTGATGGTTATTCGTACTCCTGGACAAATGTGAGTTCGCATCACTTCTCTATAAAATGAGAGGAAAGAAGAAAGAAGAATCAAATGTGTCAGAATACGGGCGATTCACAATAGTGCGCCTCCACGAGTTTACAACGCGTTGGCCAATCACGATGCGTGAAATCGACCCGATTCGCGTTTGGAAAGGGTTGACAGATTTCGCGCGTTGTGATTGGCCAACGCGTTGCCAACTCTTGGAGACGCACTGTTGTGAACCGCCTGTGTTCGCAGAGCCAAGCTTAGCAAGTTCCAATCCATGCATAGCTCACATGTATATGTGCCTTGAAAGTGTGGAATGATTTTTATTGTTGACGTAAACTATAGGAGCGGTAGATTTTCCTGATTATAGGTGGAATAGGGTTGAATTTTATGATTTGTATTTTGATTTCACCTGGCTACGTATCGTGGCTATTATTTGCCAGACTTCTTGTAATTCTGCAGTTGCCAAGCATTCGTCCATTGTCGTGACTCAGAAGTACCCGGTACCGACTGTTGTTTAAATAAAATGTTTTTATAGTTTTCTTCAAAACAAAAGGAAGGTGATGTCATTTATCTTGGTGAATGTTTTAGGACCGAATGTGGCGTAAGAATCGGCAAGTAACTTCCAAGAGGCGTTGCATGGGGGTGGACCTCAATAGAAACTACGACTATCAGTGGGGAGGTAATGACTTTTTCTGTGCATGTGTAAGGTGTTGGTCAGCTTTTGTCCATTCACTCTGTACCTATCAGTGGTGTACATCTGTGCCGGCAATCGGAGGGGATGGGGAAAGGTGGGTGAGTATATGGGTGTGTGTGGGGGGGGGGATGACTTACCCTGCCTTGGAAATTTTAAGGGGGGTGATACCACTTAGCTCTATATAGAGGTCGATGTTCATGATATTGATGTAAGAAAATATTCAGAAGGGCATATTTATGGCTTTTTAAATTGTTTTCCCATTTTTGAGTGATATTGAAAACATTTTAGTCGATGGAAGTCTGAAATTGTTTTTACATTCTTTAATTTGTTGCTGGCTACAAAAGTGTGTGGGGGATGATTCAATAGCTCATCCCCCTCAAAAGTGTGTGGTGGGGATATATACCCCCCATCCCCCTGGATTTACGTCCATGGTACCTTTCAATGCCATGGGTGCAGTATGTAGCACACAACTTAAAATACCTTGCAATGAGACCTTTTGGGTATATCCCAAATATTGAAAAGTTGATGATTCTCTCTCTAAAAACAACTGTAGCACAATCTTGCTGTGGCCTCTGAATTTTTCTTTACAGAATCTAACCCATTACGTGTCACATTCCTCACCGTCAGTGTTAAAATGCTAGACACTATATATAAACACTCGACTTTAACACTAGACCTTAATAAACACTCTATACATGTGTGATATTGTACAAAGCGATAGTAAGAGAGTGTTTAGCAAGACTTTTTTAGCTGAACATACAGTTTTTTAGTGAGATTGAAACTGGTTGCCCTATAAAACATGCAGGTCGGGGTGCAAGCAGCAACGAGTGTGACGAAACCTACCATGGACCGAGCCCCATGTCAGAGCCAGAGTTGAGCGGACTGACCACCTGGCTCCTTGGCCTCAAGGCGGCCGGTCAACCGTTCCATATGCACATGGATGTCCACGCCTACGGTCAGTACTGGCTGTACCCATGGGGCTATTCTGCATTGGTGCCTCTGCCACCCGAGGCAGGCGATATGGTGAGATGAGACTTCACTGTCTTGTGTTGAACCATTAAATTGCGAAATACAATCCGCTTAAAGTATCGAATGATATTCCACAGATGGGGGAGGGGTGGAATTAATATAAAGATTATTCTCCATAATGCAATTTTTAAAATAAATGCAGAGATATTTTTGATTCTCCAAATTTCATTGGAAACCTTACTTACTTATATAGATTTGTGTATCAGTATTAGCAGACAATACCGATAACTTCAAAGTTGCTGAATTGAAATACATGTACTCGGGACGCCTGTCGACTTCACAAAGCAAATGGCAATATTGCAAACGATTTCGACGTGCATAACACAGCAAATTTTTGGTCCACCTGCTGTGCACAATAACTGGAATATATTGACTGCTTGCTGACAATTTATACTGGTCTAGAAACGTTTGGTATCATTTCTTTATAATTAGCACAGGTAGTCAGAATCTATGATTGCATTGTTGTCTTTGTTCGTTCGTGTTGCTGCTTTTGTGTGACGCAAATCACGATATCCCAATTGTTTAGGTAAAGAGCTGTCCAAACGTTGTATTTTTGAGTGTTTTCGCCTACAATTAAACTGTATGGCTGACCTATGTCAATAGAAAGTAATTCAAAAACCAAACGACAATAAAAAAAAACTGATAAGAGGGAGCCATTTGAAACCATTATAATGAAAAAAATGATGGTTGATAATTTCACCGTTCCTCTTCAAGACAGTGCTTGCATTTCAGTCATATATATTCACCTGAGAAATGCCGACTTATGATTTTGCTCCTTTTCACAGGACACCGTTGCGAGGAAGGCCACCTCTTCTCTAGCTAATCTCTACGGGACGTCTTACCTCGTCGGGGGTTCGGCTAAGGCAATGTGTAGGTACACCCACAGGATAGCCCACTGGACCAAAATGATCACTTAACCAGACCCCTAGCTCTTCGGGCAAATGTGACTCTAAAATTGACTTACGAGGGCACAAGGTTCATTTTCATTGGTTTGTTTTATTTTTATTCATACAAATGAGGGACATAAAGTATACACAAAATTAATAATAATGCAGAAGATCTAGCCTTCTGTATTCGATGCACCAAAAACTGCTGTCGACAAATCACAGAATGTCACATATGTTTTATTTATTTATTATTTTATTACACTTTTCCACTGGCTATTAAACCATAAATAAAATACATTATAAAATAAAACATATTGAAGTTAAAAACATGTACATAAAACAATTGACATGGCATAACAACAAACAAATGACGGATGCAAAAAAAAAGTATGTCTAAAAAGCCAATGAGTGGCAAGATGGAACAGGTGACCAGCACCTCTACAGAGCCATCCTACTACATATATGTGTATGTCACATGCCACACGCATGTCACATATAATATGTCACATGATCACACTGTAGTCCAGGAAAATGAGCACAGCAGTCCACAATGTTAGGAAAGAAGGGAAAATTAATCAAGATAAACAAAACAACTTACTGCCTCGCTGATTGAAGACATGAGTAGCAACTGAGTTCCATGTAAACAAAGTTCGCATAGTTTGACAAAATAGAATTTTGAGATGGTCCCTCCTTCTTCCGTGCCTTGTCGTCTCGGAAGTAAACGTATAGGATATGATCAGAGGCATAAATACGGGCGATTCACAAAAGTGCGCCTCCAAGAGTTTGCAACCCTCTGGACAACAACAATGCGCGAAATCTGTCGATTCCATACGCGTATTGGGTCCACAGATTTTGCACATTGTGATTGGCCAACGCTTTAAAAACTCTTGGGGGCGCGCTATTATGAAACACCTGTATTGTGCATGGCTTGCTGGTGTAAAAAGGAGAGCATTGTGAGGCGTCTTTTGTTTACTTTTTCAAATGCGCCGTCGTCCAAATCAAATTAGTTTTATATCCTCCCCGCGAAGCCAAAATTGTTGTTTGCAGATAAATGGGTCTTACAGCTAGCACTACAAACTGTACAGAACAAACGTATGTAACAAAAAGTGAAAGGAAGGAATTATTTTGGTGATATCGACGACAAATATGACAAGAAGTATAAGACAAAAACAGGAGACGACAAGGTACGGAAGAGGCAGTGACTCAGAAGTAGGCATACAGGATTGGACCAGAGGCATAAATTCCGGAGGATGATGGAATATATCCCCACTCTGTGAGCAGGTAGGATGAGGTATTGAATCATTCCCACGTTTTCGTGGTGAGAGGGTAAAAGGGCGAATTCTGAGGCATTTTTCGAAATTCCCAACAAAAGAAATGTATTCAATAGTTCCCGGGGGAGCTTTTCAATACGCAGTTTTTAAAGTTAATGAGTATAAGCATACATAAGACGTGTACATCTGTATCACAAACAGCGCCCCAATGTCGTGTGGAGCCAGCCCAGTCCCCAGCCCCCTATTTCAGTCAACCCCCCCTAGACGAGACAATGAATTACATATGAACTACGTCTACAGCTCACCAGTGAAACATTTCCTCAGCTTATTAGTTCCTCAAGAAGCTTTACCGTCACAACTCTGATATAGATAATTACCCTGATGTTCTCGTTTGTCTACATGCATATTAGACGCAGCATCGGGTGCCAGTGAGGACTGGGGCTTCGGCACCCTGGGCGCCAAGTACACGTACGTGGTGGAGCTTCGCGACGAGGGACGCTACGGGTTCCTACTGCCCGAGTTTCAGATCCAACCCACGGCCGAGGAGACGTTCGAAGCCATCAAAGAACTCGGCAGGAGCCTCGTCGCCGAGTACGGGTTGTGACTGCAGAATGGAGACTAATTGTCTGTCCCGCATCAAAAATTTGAAGCCCTTCTTGATTAGCCTCCCCAATTGTTACTAACGTTGGCGCCGAAATTGCTACAACAATAAGGGCCAAGACAAAGAAATTCGTTGTGTGGAACTTTATGGATTAGGAGGATAAAAATTTCAGCTATCACCAGAGAAAATATTTCCGAAATGCATGCTGATCGGCTCGGAAAGCCTCACTTTGCAGAATAGTTCAGAAAAGAAACTTCAGTATCTTTGTACAATTATCTTTTGCGTCTAATCGTCCAGGCTTAAGGAGGTGGGGTACCAGTAACTGTTAGGGTAATTGATGATGGCCAAATACTAGTAAATGTTCACCATGTGGCAATGTTTCAGTCATGGTTCATGAAGATTATTGTTTTAATAACAGTAGGAAAACCTCTTCCAAACTCATTGCTTGAAACGCACAGCATACTGGGTCTCATTTTGAAGCAACAAAATTGTAGTTATTACTGGAGAAATTAAGGACCATAAACAAATGATCTCATTATGATTGGTATCTGAGAAAGCACTTATAGTTTCCCCGAGAATGTTTTCAGATTGATGGATGACACAAAATAAGGTTTGTGATTTCTCAAGTAGCACCAGAAGAGCTACAAATGTGTCCCACAGGGTTTTGTCATGACTTACAGAAGAGGTAGGGAATCATTGTAAAAAGGTGACGGGAATCTGTCGCGGAGTTTCTCTCTTTTTGCCTGGTATGCATGTAAATGCCTTTTTTGGGCAAGTTTCAACTTGCGCGAGTGTAGCCTTAATGTGAAAAACTGTCACACGTCTCACTAACGGTCTCAGTGGACATAAATCCCAAAACAACACACCAGCAACATTTTTAGAAAATATCTTTTAAAATTTGCGGTTCTGTATATTATACATGTACATGGAATAGGCCCTTGATACAAACTGTACTTTGCACAGATGAATTAGATAACCTAAGATCGTTACAATTATATCGCTATATCTATGCTCCACTTGAGAGCTACATCTGCATCTTGGTACGGTTCGTTCCCGTCTGCAACACTTGCGTGGCACCCCTATGACTAGAATCTTTGTTAAAAAGAGGCCCTTACAGAGGTTCATGCCAGTTAGCTTTTGGCAGTGTGAGACTTTCCGGTTTAGAGCAAGACACCATGCAGTTGCTATTCGTATTGCTGACACTCTTTGCTGTCGCACACAGCAAGAGTTATGATGGGTAAGTTTCCCCACACTTTTTAGGGAATTAAGGATTAACTCATTATAGATGTCTGCAGTTTGAACGAGAAAAAGCGAGGTAAACTACGGAATAAGATACTCGGTTTGTTAAAGTCAAGTGCGATCGCAACAGGGCAAGTGTTCCACTTTAGACACATGCAGATCAACTCTGCTTTGGTTATTGTTCGATTTTATTACCTCAAAATGTTGGTGAATCAAAGGATCGCTCACTGAATACATCTTTTTTCCCTATCCACCTCGAGCTGGACCAATTTACCAAGTAACACGGGCTCCTTTGGTCGGAATCGCATTTCGCTGGTTCGTAAACGGCTGTGAAATACAAGCGTTACAGTCGAGTCGCTACCAGCAAAATTAACCACCACGACCACCATGCCCCTTTTCAACAGATGAGGGGGTGCTTCTGTTAAAGGCAGATAGGCCTAGACTTATAGACAACCGACTGCCTACGGAAACGTGTAAGGGCCACTCGCAAATTTTATTTTCAACTTACTTATCTCGCCGCGGCGACTAGCCATCTCGCCGCGGGGACTTCCTGTCTCGCCGTGGCGAGATAGTAGGCCTTGCTAGAATTTTTTGGTGCAAGCGGCCCTCATACGCTTCCGTAACTGCCTGATATCAAATCAGAATTTAAAATTCCTTACAAATTCCCGATAAAACTTGTACATTATTGAAACATTTACTTCCATTCAAAAACTTGCCATTTCCCTGAGGACTTCTTTTCTTGGAGGCGTTGCATTTACAGCTGTGACATGTATCCCAGTTATCGACTCCAACTGAATATGGCAGCTACCTGCAGCTGCTTTACTTTTCTTTGGTATGAAAACGTCTGCGCAAGTTCCAGATCAACCCTTCTGAAAAAAAAAACAGTTTTCGTTAAATTGGTTGCCGATTAACCCCCCCCCCAATATTATTACGGTATTATTTTATTTCATAGAACAGAGTGCAGCAGTGTATTAGTGCGACTTAATTCCTGTCGAACACTTACCGGGGGAGCATAAGGGAAGGCTTAGCAATGAAAGTGTGGAATCCGTTGATTTGTAAGGGAAACAAGCTTTAACTTTGTATCTCACAATATGGCTTGCATTGACATTTTATGTGAACTATGAGACAGAGAGAACCCAGCCTCCGACCTTGTGTTGGTCATTGTTGTACTGGTATCTCAAGCATTCTTTTCAGACATCGGGGGGGGAGTGTTAAGTAACAATAGGCCGGAGTGTGTACATGTATAGGGATTGGACGTGTTGGGGGGGTACTCCTCTCTCCCATTTCGTGCCTGGTATATGCATTGATGCCAAATTAGACATATTTCCGGATATGTGTGGTACGTTAATAAGATTCTTTTAGGGAATGCATTTTCTGAAATAGAATTTTTACAATTTACTTCAATATTATTCTCAACCTAACCATCCTTTTTCAGGTATCAAGTTTTTGAAATCACACCCAAATCAAGAATTCAGTTTCAACAGATGATGGATTTGGACGAGCAATTCTTTGAAGACGTATGTATAGAACGCGACTTACAGAAGCATTCTTAAATTGAAGAATACGAGACTTTCGCTGCGTTTTGCTCTATCGATGTAACATTATGCCCAGATACAATGTCAAACAGGCATTCTGTTCCCCGAACGTCTCTCCACAAATCCTGAAAAAACAACCAGTGTACTGTGTGTTTATTCTGTGTCGACAAGTAAGTATTAACATGCATGCAGTAAACAATGCCGGATTGAATCCAGTAGGAATTGTCAGCACCGTACCCAAGGCCCAAGAAAATTTTTAGGTTTTTCGGCTACAAACCCCCCCCCAAAAAAAACCCACAGTGTGCGAAGTAAAGTCTACGTAGCACTATAGTGTCTATCTTCGGCCAAGAGTTGAACCCAACCGGTACACGTTTAGTTTGTCAGGGCTTTTAATTACCTCTGCCAACTTACAGCTTGATTTCTGGAAGACCAGTCCCGTCGGTGAACCCAGTCAAGTGATGGTGCCTCCCATGCACGTGGACAAGCTGAAGGAAGCTTTGGAAGAGTTGCAGATTGAGTTTGGGGTACACATTGACAACCTCCAACCACTCATTGACGAAGAGACGAGAGCAATCACCTCACGTGAGGAGGCCACTACCTTGGCAAGCTTTAATTACAACGTGTACCACAGCGCGCAAGGGGTAGGATCAAATTATACTCTACTAAATATCAAAGTAAACAAGCCGGATCACTTCAAAAATCTCGGGCGTCACAGATGACACTTTCCCCCCCCCGTTATCTCATATCAGCTGTGCTTCTGACTCCACATATGTAAAATTTGAAATGAAATGCTTGGAATTTTTGATGAGGGGTAAGAGTCGTTCTATCTCTAAAACAATAATTAGCATCAGTCACCCACTACTGTAAGTCTGTGCTCAAATGAATTAGTTTTGTACTTTGTCACATTTTTTGTTTTCGTTTAGATCTTGAACTGGGTGACAGACTTCCGCAAAGCTGAGTCTAGTAGTTCCCTTAACATCAAAGAAATCAATGTAGGCACAACTGTTCAGGGACGGCAGATCAAGGCACTGAAGGTGAGAAAAGCACGGCATTTAACTGTCTGTAATAGAAAAATGTGGATATCCGTGTTCGTCTGCATATAAGTACAATGGCAAAAATGGGGTAGCACTTTATAGACAAACTGAAAAATATATATACCGCATGAGCGTTTGTAGCAACAACTTCTTGTTGTCTTTGTCTTTAATACCTCTATAGGTTGTGTTGACTACACACTATAAAAACAAATGTTGATATTGTAGCGCCTTTTCAGCGCCTTCCTGGTTTACCATGAACGTGCATGTTGTGGTGTCAATAATCCAAAGCTAAACACGTTATGGTGTTTGTTTTTTAATAAGATAGCACAAAAACACGTTATTTGTTGGGAACAGTTTCCTAATACCGAAACACGTTTATTTCCAAAAAGGTGTTTGATTTTAAATGGTTACATGTTTACAATTAACGCAAAGACGCGTTTATAGTGGGCGTTAGTTTTTAAAGTGAAGGAAGATAAGAACACCTCGAGGTATAACCACCGCAGATGTGGCAACAATTCCCACTACTTTCATTCCCCTAATAAGGGGGGGGAGGAGTGGCTTTGAAAACAAGAGACGAGGATAAGAATAAAACAAAAAGGAATGTTTACACTTTTTCTGGAGGGGGGTTACAATTTTATGCTTCAATTACAATACAAGACAAAACGGGACTTCAGATTCTGAAAATACCCCCTGAGCTGAATTAATTTTTCACTAATTCTTTAATTCGAGGACCAAACCGAGGAAATGACGGCAAATCTGAAGTCTTATAAGCTGCTAGTCGTTTGTGCAAGATGCTAGGCGGTTATCGACTTTTCAAGCACGTTACTAGCAGAACTATTACCCGCACACGACGATTCCAAATTCTACTGGGCGTTAAACAAGAGGTTTGCTCTCTTACAGATTTCTACAGGGAGCGGTCGGCGTGCTGCGTACACCCAAGGGGGCATACATGCTAGAGAATGGGTCTCGCCTGCCACTGTCATCAACCTCATCAAAAAGGTCAGAAAATAGTGTTCCGAATTTACTAACTCAGTAATGCCCTCATTATGATCCAAAATTGAAAGCTCATTTGACTAGCAGCTCGTCTCCTAAGCCTCAACACCTTCTGCTGATCTCCAGGTAGACGTATACTGTCGTAATATCTCGATGTAACTGCAGTGCCCCACAAAAAATGCACGTTTAGCCAGCCCTGAATGCTACCGTCATTAGATATTTCCAATTCCATACAGCCTATACTATTGATCTTTCATTAAAGAGCCCCAAGCAAATTCAACCTGTTTTAATTTGCCAGTTTGTAGCAGCCTTCAAGAGTGGGGACAGCGTAGCCACCCAGTTTTTCAAAAAGTTCGACTGGTACGTTATCCCTCTGTTCAACGTTGACGGTTACCACTACACCCGCCCGGAGTCGGTAAGCCTGTCTGAAAATGGACCTACAATGTAGCCCCAACTATTTTTGTTCTCAATGCAATAAACTAATAGGGAACACCAACCAAACCAACCTAACCCAACCCCAACCCAAAACCAAACCCCAACCCCCAACACCAACCCACAAACCCAAACCCCCAACACCAACCCACAAAATATTTTGGCCCATAACGATCTCCTCTCTCGTCTGATAAAAATAATATTCCCACAAAAATGGTTAATGCCCGTCTCTTACTGCAAAACACATTATTAGAAGTGGGTCTTGCCAGTAGAAACGTACACTGAGAGTTGACGAAATTTCCGAGGCCGTGTTAGGGACAATGTAAAAATGTTCCCCCACATCAGTTCTGACCTAAAGTGGTGTGGATGAAATCTTTTGGATGTGCGACTGACATCTGGTACGTACGTACCACTTGCAAATTTCTTACCTAGAACTTGGAGAGAAATTACCGTGCGCCTAACACAGCCTCGCAGCAATACACGGAAAAAAAAGTCACCGAAAAGGCACACAGGTAGACAGGAGTTCGTAGAAGGAAGAGCGCTACTCCTTTTCTCCTCTTTATCTCTCGATCATCACTCCCAAAGTCTGAAAAAGCTCCTCTTATACACGGAAAACACTTTTTAGAAATACTGGAAACTGATAGAATCTTGTAATTCTTGGTAGCAAAAGTAAACGCTAGCATTTCAGATAAGCTTTGAAAAAGTAGATTAAGCAGGCTTCATCAAATGACATGTTTCAATACTGACACATGAACAACTTTCAAACTCTCTATTGATTTATCGAGGGCTTTCAAAAGTTACTATAAATCTTGCAGGGATCCTCATCTACCACGTTATGTAGAAGAAAAAACAGTTTACAACACAATACATTTAAAGAAATACTCTTAACATTCAACTTTTTACAGTCCTACAGAGATCGTATGTGGCGTAAGAATCGCCAGTCATCTTCTTCCCAATGTACTGGAATCGACATGAACAGAAACTATGGCTTCAAATGGGGTAATCTTATTTCCTTGTCGAATGGTAAAGCCACATAGCTACTGGTGTACAAATCAAAGAGAACTATTTTGTGCAAATGAGTTCATGTCAAAATGTATCAACCTTTCTTTTGTAAAGCCTTTTTCCGAAAATTTATGAGGCTAATAATTTGGACAAAAAAATAAGGGCCTGATCCTCGAACATTACTGGGTAGATCTGCACGGTCCGTCAATGTCAAGGAGATACAAGTTCTCGCTTAAAAGCATTTTCCTTTAGGGGAGAGGGAGACTGTAGGTGGGATACGGGTCCTTTATGTCCCTAGACATACCCGTTCCAGTACTTCAAATATTAACAAGAACTTTTTTCGCATTATCCAAGGTGGTTCTGGTTCCTCCAGTAACCCCTGCAGTGAAACGTATAGAGGAGAATACGCATATCAAGCTAGAGAGCTCAGATTGGTCAAGGATTGGCTGCTCAACCTGAAGAAAAGTCAGACCTTTATGATCCACGTGGATGTCCACAGCTACAGCCAGTATTGGGTCTATCCTTACAGCTACACTTACAGTCAATATGATAGGACCAGAGATCACTATGACCTGGTGGGTATATCAGAGTACTGGGTGAGATGGCAAAACTAGTTTTATGGCTTACGAATTTAGCATGATCATATTCAACCTATGGGTTATTGGTTGACTATCTTAAGTAGACTGTACTCGTGTGTCGGCCATCTTGAATCAAAATTGAGGTAAAACTGTTCCTGCTTGGAACCTGAGATTAAAATAATAATGACAAAAAATAACACTGACGACAAAAACCAACAACATGAAACCAAGGTCGTTGAAGCCTTTTACCATAAGGCAACATACCTGATTCGAACAATGGACGTCCTACGATTGTCTTTCTGCTGTTTCACTTCACAGGGCAGAGTGGCCGAGGCTGCAACAAATGCACTGACAGCAGTGCATGGCAAACGGTACACTGTAAAGACGTCTGGGGACTGGTGTAAGCATTTTTGAGGATTAGTAATAAAATGCATCTTAAAATGTTGCCCTTATGAGCGTGCTGATATTTGTTTGACTCATTAAATGACACGTGAAGAACAAGTATGAAGTTTCGGAAAAGATTTGGTAAAATATCATGCCAGTCATTTAAAAAATATTCTCTATCCAATTTTGTGTGTGTTTTGAGAAAGAACAAAGTTAGCGCCGCAAAGACTGAATTTGAATTTTCAGTTTTACTTAATAGTTTCATTGTAGTTTTTGACAAGCAGTTGAAAAATATCAGCGTCAAGATACGACTCCCTCGGGTCGGCATTAACACCAGCTCATCCAAATTCTTCAAAATCACCCAGGATTGGGAGGATTTTGGAGAAATCTTGTGGAGGATCATGGAGAACTGAGGGAAAGTGCCTGTCAAAAAACATGGGAGTTCGGGTTAATCAAATTTGTTCCTCCAAAATTTGTGTTCGACAGACCCGGCAGCTGGAGCGAGTGAGGACTTCGGATACGAGATCTTAGGGGCCAAATACTCCTACACCGTGGAAATGCGGGACACAGGACATTACGGGTTTGAGCTTCCTGAGAATCAGATTAAACCTTGTGGGGAAGAAACCTACGCTGGGTTCAGAGAGATGTTCCGCCAGGTCTTAAAAGAGGTCTGAACACAAGTCAAGACTTAAAACGGGTTGACACGGGAACCGACGGATAAGAAACTCATTATAAATCGTCCAAAATTGAGGTTAATTAAAAAAGGGAAGATCATATAACTCGAAACCAAACTACTGATGGTAAAAAGATAATTTACAGCATGAAGGAGGGAAAACAAGATTTTTTTCAGTAAACCCCTCTGATAGTTTATCATGTAGGAATCTCAAGAATCTGTATCTATCTAAATCAAAGGGCGAGTGACAAACTGAGAAAAGGTTCTTAAGAATTCAGGGAAAACGAGACAATTGTCGCTGGGTGTACAAAACGTTATGAGTAGTGGGTAAATTAAGAACATTTCTCCAGAGTCCCAAATTGAAAACCCCAAAACACGTCAATAAAAGTACAGTACTTTACACTGTCATTTAGAAAGTGTCATTTAGTGAAAACAACATGACTATTACTCCGTTAGTAAGAAAAACTTGGACCATCAGAAGGAGACAATTGGACCAAGTAGTTATTTCAACTGAAATATAAAGCTTATTAATTAATTCTTTAGAATTAATAAGATGTTTTTGACTTTAAACGAAGTGAAAAAATATGTAACATATATCTATGAGATGCGGTGTATGCAATGTTGATGTGAAATTGTACGTGTGTAAGGCAACCAGGAAACACGCTCCATTGCAACTGTAGCGCAAGAACTCTTAGGGTCCTTCCGTTTTATCTGAAAATTTAATCCAAAATGACCCCAAATTAAGCAAATCCACGTGGAATGGAAACGACGACCGTTTTCCTCTAACAGTACGCCCTTCATTATGTGTACGTTTACTTGTGAGTCTAATTAAATGAATTCAGTTGTTGATTTCCATTATTTTAAAACTGAATATCTAACTCCATATTTTATTTTGGAATCAAATAAACTTGAATTCACTGTTGACATGACTGCACATGGTGTCGACTTTGTTGTCATTGAAGGATTTACATGTACTCAAGCAGAGTAATGTCAGATGAATGTTGATGTAATTTTTAAAATCAACAGGATAACACTAGACTTAGGCAACATGGAAATCGTGTATTGGTGGCTTATTTTATTCGATTTGTGTCATTCGCACTGTAGGCAAACAAACACCGTCATTCACAACATGCCACAGAGTTCCTTTGGGGACACAGTCTACAGTCTTCTTGAGTCCAGAACTCAAAAAGTGGGCCTTTGCTCAATATACAGGTTCCCCAACGAAAGTGATGTAAATAAAGTCTTTGATGAGATATGATGCCTGAAGTCAACAAGAATAGATGCACTGCATCCATCGGAGAACTAGAGATCAATGCAAAAAATGCCAGAGTCTGGGTTCTGATCACCGGCGGCGGTACGAGGGGAGGGGAGGAGTTGTTAGAACATCAGGCATCAGCCATTAATAGGCCGATCCATTAAGCCATATGACCTGCAAAAAAAGTGGGCGGGGAGGGGTAGGTCCTCCCAGTCTAAAACATGGGGGCCCACTAACCCCTGCCTCCTCCGCTTCCGCCAAGTCAAGACTTGAGCCTTTTCCTAGTTGCAGACTAAACACTTGAGCCTTTCCTTAGTTGGAGACTAGTAGGTTCTTCAAGTCTTCTTTTGGGCTGTTCTCCGGGACTTGCTCACATGACATAGTTTGAACATAACAGCCCGTGGGCAGTAGCAGATAGCCTATTAGGTTATGAATAGTGGAAGATGCAGCTAGTATATAGATATATGTACTTAAATTAGGTCATTATAAAATTGGTATTTATACTGAAGTGTACTTATGATGGAAGGGGCCATACTAAGAAACAGCGGTCTCGTGCGCACAGGAAAAATTACGATTATAAAGTCTTTTTACAAAGCACTCAAAATTCCACTTAAATCAAAAACTAATAGCAAACACGATTTAACAGGACTTTCTGAAGAAAGAAACGAACAAAGCCAGAAAACCTGAGAGAATGATCATCAAAGTCGCACAACTGAACATTTTCAATGGCTCGCTCCGGTGATTTTTTTTCCTATAGGAATGTTAGGGGTAATTATTACATACGGGAGTGGTCAACTGCAAGCTGTATCAGGTTAGTGGAGCGACGGACAACGGGGGGCGGCAGATATGGAATTCCATAACATGCAGTATCGCATGCTTGCAGTAGACCACGTTGTGTTTGATGTAGCTTGGCCAACAGGACAAACACTGTTTTATCCAAGAAATACACAGTAGGGCTGTGTCTTTAATTGCTGCCTTGAACTGAGACTTTGCAGGCGTGGCATACATAGTGTGGACCTCTGTACAAAAGAAGTCCACATAATGTATCATATGATGGCATTGTGTGGACTCACACACGTCCACACAATGTTTCTCCCTCTCCGAAGAACATTTTCAGATGCATTTGGGGGTAAAGGTTATCCGTGGCAAAATGAAGAGGAACAGTTCAGGAAATCATCACAAAAAAATCTAGGTCGAAGGAGTTATCCTACTTGGAGAAAAAAAGAGCATTTCCCTTAGTTTCCTGAACCACAGGAAAACAAAGGAATGTCCACACTTTGTGTGTAAAACTGGTATTGGTGTTTGCCTGTAGGCCAAGCTGTAGGCAAAACGAGATTTTTGTGGGCGGGGAAACACAGGATCTTTTTATTCATTTTGCGGTCACAATCAACGGGGTAAACATTAAATTTGTGATGTTTTTCAAATGGTTACGTATTTATTCTTATTTTGAAATACTTCATGCTAACGAATTGTTGTCTATTACTGTAAGCCTTTAATTAAGTACTAAAGTAAATGTCGCTTTACCTTCCTGTTATAAAAACATCCTCCAACCAATTCCCCGCCAAAAAAAGCGCTACATGTACACGCGAACCCTCGATTCATTGGTTCAACGATAACGTTATTCTTACAGAGATACCAGGCAAGTCGGCCAGAAAGTCAATTTTGTAGTGTCTTAATACCCTATTTATGATAATTACCCCAAACCCTCCTTGATGAAAAACGCATGCGCAACGGTTAAGATACGCCCATTTTATTATGATTACCCCCTAACCTTCGTACGAAAAAATTACGCGGCTGGCTCACACTTCCTGCCGCCAAGGCCATATTTTGCGCATGGGTACATAATTATGAATTTATTAGTGAAGGTCTGCTAATAAAGGAGATCATCTCCATTGTAAAAGAGAACAAAGTGCGCACACGATTCGCCCTGTCCAATCCCCATCCCGCACAATGATGAATGAGCGCCCATGAAAAATACCCGATGGCTGCTGTTTTCGACACATTCATTGGGTGCGTTCGATTAGCTTACACGTGTAAGTCAAACTTACACGAGAGCGTTCGTTTAGCCATCACGTGATCTTCGCGCCTCCCCTGGAGTCAGCCACCACTTCCCAGGCTTTCCAAGGGAACCAATCAGCACTCACTAAATCGCATGCATAATACATTTCGATGACTTGATTGGTAAGGTCACATGCATCATGGCTGGCTGACGTGCCGCGTTGCATAAAATTTGCATGCACGATATATCAGTACGAGTACGCTCGTACGGAGTTAGCACGGAGTAGAACGGGAGATACTCATACTAGGTTAGGCCTAGGTCATGACAGAGGATGCTGTTCTTGATGACCCATAACCATGTACAGTAAGTATGCCCTCTCCAGCTAACTAAAGAGTCCTTAAAAACCACGTAGACCTTACTTTCGAGGACAGAGTACCCGGACTGCAAGTTGGTTGTCGTTTTCTTGCTGCACGTGTAGGTTTAGGTGTCGCTTGTGTGAGTAATTTGGCCTCATCAGGCCAACATGCTCATTGTGTGTTGCAAAAAAACGAGAACGTATTTCTTGCGTGGTGTCAGACAACGATTTTGTTTTCCCAATTTTTCAGCCACAGATATCGCAAACATGATGCGATGCAGCACAACTGTAGTCCCCAACGATATCTTTTAGAAGAGTGGCAATTTCATGTTTAGTATGGACTGAATAATATGTCGTACATGTCACTAATCCCTTCCCACGGCCACAAACCGGACACTATCGACAGGGTACTTGCTCGCGTGAAGCCGCCATGTTGTTCGAACTTCGAAGTACATGTACATAATTATAATACCAAGGCTATAAATATTTAATACGATCGGTCATTTGAATACAACTGCCGCACCCCCATTCCTGGAAGATTCCCAAGACGTTGGTGAGAGTAAGTAAAAACTAGTTGTGCGAGGGCGCTCTTCAACAGAAATAAAACAACTATCGATCACTGACGTCTAGGCCAAGACTACCCCTACCTCGGCTGGCGAGCAGGTTTCTGGAGGGTGCACCCTCGTATTTAGGCCAGAAATATGTCCGCCGAGCTCATTAATAAAAGTTATACACTCAAAATATTCTATATTCGGAGGGTCCTGAAAGCCATGGAACTGGGGAATAGAAGAAATATGAGACTGAACCTCTGGGCCGGACTCGGGGCTTCCAATTCTGAGCAATTTGGACGCAATCGGGTCCGAAAGTGGCACTATTTGAGCTATTTTGCAGAGGGATGGTTTTTCAAAATGGCTACTTTTCTGGACAGGGACATTTTCTTTATTTTAGAGGTGGTCTGCTTCTGGTGAAAATTTCTCAAAAATTCCTTTGTCAACCCCCCGAAAACTGAAAGGAAAATAAAAGGAGACATGTGAAACGTCATTTTTCTGTGCAGCCTGGACACCTGTGAAATATTTCAAAGTATGGGGATTTCTCACTGCAGTCTATGGGAATTTATTTGTAGTGGTGCACCCTGGAGACTGTCCGAGTGTAATGACGTCACGGATGGACTGTTCGTGCATGGACACTCTTTGATTAGCCTCATTTCGATGATTCCCTTGCGTGTAACACTGGTGTATTCAGGGAAGCCAATCAAACGCACCTATTGAGTTCACGCATACGCAAGGCTTCATTACGAGCGATACAAAGTCGCTCACAAAACAGCAGTTAGGATCACCGTCTTTAATGCTGTTTGGTTCCCAGACCAAACAGATCCCAAGTGTATCACTCAAGTATGGTGGCCCTGGAGGGGCATCGCCAATCGTCAGTATTGACGTCGACATTTGAGACCAAATTTTCGATCCACCCTTCAGTCACGAATATTGACCCAACATGTGCGACCAAATTGATGCCTCGTTGTATCTCCGCAAAACTGCCTCGGTTTTTTCCCCAGCAAGCCAGGTAGAAAGGGAATAGACACAGCAAGTGCTTTTTAATGTTGTACCCCCGGCGTTGTGCCAAAACTGCCCACCCGAATATCGACTTGAGATCAAGCCAAAAAACAAGTCATGAATTTGGTGGCAAAAATTGACGTCCATTTTCGAGACGGAAGAGAGAGTCGTGAAGTTTGGTTGTGAATATTGATCGCAATATTGACACTGGCGATGACCTTCCACGGCCACCATACTCAAGTGATATGAACAATGCATATCTTATCATTATTACTACACTCTTTTGACACCCCTGGTTGAACAAAATATCCAAGACCTTCCTATGTGGTTCATGTCACAAATCGAAGAGTAGTTACAGAGGTCTTGGACCCAAGACTAAGCTATGGCTTGAAATGACACATCGCTCAACATAACTTGTACTTTGAAAAGTAATTGGGATTTGCTTGTGCTTGGACCGAATTGACTTGTGATTTGACTTGACCTGTGATCAAATGACTTGTGACTGGAACAAATCAGTGTTGTAGTCGAGACCTTTATGTCCGAGACCGAGACCGAGACCAAAGCATTCGAGACCGAGACCAAGATCGAGACCAGCTCTTTCAAGACCCAGACCAGAACTTCGAGACCGAGACTTTTGCAGTTCGAGACCGA